TTCTCCTTTCCCCCCCTGCTCGATTCGTGGCTTCTTCTCGATGTTGCTGGATGTTGATTTCGACTGCTGTTCTGATTCTCTCGGTGCCTTTAAGTTCTTATTTTGGTTTTCGAGTAAATCGAATGCGAGGCGTGAGAGATGTGGAGGCTCGTTTCTTAGTTGATTGTCGCCAGTCGATTGTAAAGTTCTGGAGCATTTTGTTCCTCTCGTGGCTTTCTGCAAGTCCGCCAGCCAGTTTCGAAGATCGGAGGATGTCGAATTATGTTTTACTTCGCGACTAGGCAACACTGTAAAGCTTGTGATAGGTCTGCTGTTATAAGTCAATTTTCTGGATACTCTTATTGCCACTGGTGGACATAATGATTGGTCTTGGTAAAGGGTAAAAATTTTGTCGTAGCATGTATCAGGACAGGAACGAAACCACAAAGCCTATTCTGGGCTTTCCACACTTCGCCATTCGTTTCTTGATATTGGTGACATGCTTAATTGGGGTAATCCGTCTCCACTACATCCGACGAATTGCTATGTATGGATTCTCTCAATGTTATTCAAAACTTGGTTCTGCCTATATGGTGCACGGCATTTTGTGCGTGTGGAGAATGTCTTACTTGAGATGTTACGGAAGATTGCTGGAGGTCTATAACATCGTCTATGATTTCGATTGGCTGACCCTGAACACTCAGGTCACAAGAATTAATTGTATTTCATTCAATTGAAATAATTATTGATATGATTATTTAATTTGATATCTATATTATGTATAATTCGTTAGTCACCAAAGTGGCCGAATTAGAAAGTTTCTCATAGACGTCAAATTAAATAAAATTCAATTATCCATGATATGTGATGCTACTAATGAGATGACATGATGTTATATATATATATATATATATATATATATATATATATATATATATATATTGTTTGTCATGGGTAATTTGAAGTTCATTGATTATAAAATATTTAAGGACCACCCAAAGGTTGATCGGTTAATTTTATAATCATGAACATAATAGTGGTTAATTAGTATACTTGGTTAGATATGTTTAGCATATCCAAAGATAGCAAACGTGTCTAATTGGAGTATATATAATTACCAATTATGTGAACTTAAATTTAAGCATCAATTATGTTTTATGGTTGTACATTATTGTATCACCCAAAGGAGAACTTCGATGTACAATTAATGTTATGTGTTTAAGTTACGACTCAAAGTATTAATGTGTGAGTATTCTATGTATTTTACAGCATCTGTTTCTGTTTCTCTTCATTCGCAAGCTTCGTCTATTATGAAGTTCAATGGGCTTAACTTTTCTAAATGGAGTGAACAAGTCAAGTTTCACCTAGGTGTTCTTGATCTTGATTTAGCACTCATGAATGACAAGCCTGCCGTTCTTACTGCTTCTAGCAGTACTGAAGAAAGGTCTTTCTATAAGGTTTGGGAAAGATCAAATAGACTGAGCTTAATGTTCATGCGGAGGACAGTAGCAAACAACATTAAGTCAACCATTCCTGAAACTGACAATGCTAAGAAATTTATGAAGTTAGTGGAAAGTCATTCTCAGTCTGATTCTGCTGATAAGTCAGTTGCTGGGACATTAATGGGTACATTAACCACTATGAAGTTCGATGGTTCTCGTACCATGCATGAGCATGTCAGTGAAATGGCAAATATAGCAACAAGATTGAGTTCCATGGGAATGAAAGTAGATGAAAGTTTCCTTGTGTAGTTTATAATAAATTCTTTGCCTCCTGAGTATGGTTTATTCCAAGTAAATTATAATACTATAAAGGATAAGTGGAATGTGACTGAACTGCAAAGTATGCTCATTCAAGAGGAAGCAAGGCTTAAGAAGCAAGGAATCCACTCTGTCAACCTCATGGGTCATCCATAAGCTAAAAGAAAACCAGGAAGGAAGAATGGAAAGGGCAATAAAGGACCGCTAAAGATTAATGAGTCATCTGCCCAAATTCATAAGAAGGAACAAAAGAATGATAAGTGTCATTTCTTCAAAAAACCTGGACATTACTAGAAAGATTGCCTAAAACGTAAGGCATGGTTCGAAAAGAAAGGTAAGCCTGGTGCTTTTGTATGTTTCGAATCATACTTGGCAGAAGTTCCTTATAATATTTGGTGGATTGATTCTAGTTGTACCACTCATGTTTCGAATACGATGCAGGGATTCCTTACGACCCAAACCATAAGTCCCAATGAAAATTTTATTTTCATGGGGAATAGAGTCAAAGCTCCAGTTGAAGTCATTTGAACGTACCGTTTGATTTTGGACACTGGACATCATTTAGATCTTTTTCAAACTTTTTATGTTCCCTCTGTTTCTCGAAATTTAGTTTCATTATCGAAACTTGATATAGTTGGATATTCTTTTAAGTTTGAAATAGATGTTTCAGTTTATTTAAACACAATCATTTTATTGGTTCTAGTGTGCTTTGTGATGGTTTGTACAAATTAAAACTTGATAATTTATTTGCAAAGACTCTATTGACCCTGCATCATAATATTGGTTCAAAACGTGGCTTAGTGGATGAAAGTTCAGCTTACTTGTGGTATAAACGTTTGGGTCATATATCCAAAGAAAGAATACAAAGATTAGTAAAGAATGAAATCCTTCATGATTTGGATTTTACTGATCTTGGTATTTGTGTGGATTGAATTAAAGGAAAACACACAAAACACACAATTAAGAAAGCAGCCACAAGAAGCACACAGCTCCTTGAAGTAATACACACTGATATATGTGAACTTTTTGATGTTCTATCATTTGGTGGAGAAAAGTACTTTATCACCTTTATTGATGATTTTTTGCGTTATGGTTATATATATATTTGTTACATGAAAAATCTCAACGGTAGACACATTAGATGTGTTTATCAATGAGGTTGAAAGACAGCTAGATAGAAAGGTGAAAATTGTCAGATCTGACATAGGTGGTGAGTATTATGGAAGTTATGAAGAAACTGGACAATGCCCTGGTCCATTTGCTAAATTCCTTGAAAGGCGTGGCATTTGTGCTCAATACACTATGCTAGGAACACCGCAATGAAATGGTGTTGCAGAAAGGTGTAACCGTACATTAATGGATATAGTTAGGAGCATGTTAAGTAATTCTTCTGTACTCTTATCATTGTGGATGCATACTTTGAAAACCGCCATGTATTTATTAAATAGGGTTCCTAGTAAGGCAGTTCCAAAGACTCCTTTTGAACTGTGGACAGGAAGGAAACCCAGTTTGAGGCACCTGCATGTTTGGGGTTGCTAGGCGGAAGTAAGGATTTATAATCCTCATGAAAAGAAACTGGACTCAAGAACAACCAATGGTTTCTTCATTGGTTATCCAGAAAAATCCAAAGGGTATAGATTTTACTGTCCTAACCATAGTACAAGAATTATTGACACTGGAAATGCTAGGTTCGTTGAAAATGGTGAAACTAGTGAGAGTGTAAAACCACGAAAAGTGGAAATTCAAGAAGTTAGGGTACAAGTACCTTTACCTATAACTCATTCTCAGGTTGTTATTCCCACAGTTGTCAAACGGCTTGACAACATACAAGAACAACAAATAAATGACCAAACACTCCATGATGAAGTTGCTACTAATGAACCTGCAGTAGATGAACCACATGAAGTGGCATTAAGAAGGTCTCAAAGGCAAAGAAAATATATCGTTTTCGATGATTATGTGGTTTATTTACATGAATCTGAATTTGACTTAGGAATTGATGAAGATCCAGTTTCGTTTTCATAAGCCATGGAAAGTGTTAATTCTGCTAAGTGGTTTGACGCCATGAAGGAAGAGTTAAAATCAATGGATCACAATGAAGTTTGGGACCTTGTTGATTTGCCTGAAGGTTGTAAAAGAGTCGGCTGTAAATGGGTCTTTAAGACCAAACGCGACTCAAGTGGCAATATTGAAAGATACAAGGCTAGACTCGTTGCCAAAGATTTTACTCATAAAGATGGTGTTGATTATAAAGAGACCTTCTCTCCTGTGTCTAAGAAGGACTCTCTGAGAATTATTATGGCTATGGTGGCTCATTACGACTTAGAGTTACACCAAATGGATGTGAAAACTGCCTTTTTGAATGGGAATTTAGATGAAGAAGTTTATATGAACCAAGCAAAGGGTTTTCAGTTAAAGGAAATGAACACATGGTGTGTAAACTTAAGAAGTCAATATACGGACTTAAACAAGCTTCCCGACAATGGTATCTTAAGTTCAATGATACTATCACTTCCTTTGGATTTAAAGAAAACAGTGTTGATCGGTGTATATATCTGAAGGTCAGTGGGAGCAAGTTTATATTTCTAATTTTGTATGTTGATGATGTCTTGCTTGCTACTAATGATCTTGGTTTGTTACATGAGACTAAGAAATTCCTTTCTAAGAACTTTGAAATGAAAGATATGGGAGAGGCATCATATGTGATTGGAATTGAAATATTCCGTGATAGATCACAAGGATTGTTAGGGTTGTCTCAAAAGGCATATATTAATAAAGTTCTAGAGAGATTCAAGATGGAAAAGTGCTCTGCAAGTGTTGTTCCAATTCAAAAAGGAGATAAATTGGGCCTTATGCAATGGCCTAATTCCCTAAAAAACCCGAAACTTTAGGTTTAGTCCCAAATTTATCCCAAACTTTTTTTATCTTAAAAAAAACCCTCAACTTTTATTATAATCCCAAATCTGCCCTCGTTAACGTTCAGCAAAAAATCACCGTTAAGTCTTCTTACATGGCAATTCCACGTCAGCACAAAATCCACATCACAAGCTGACATGGAATAACTCCAGAAAACATCAACGTTTTTGCTCTGGATATTTGGGGAAAATTAGGGCTTTCTTTGCTTCGTCTTCTTCAATTTGCTTTCAAATATCGACCAAAAGAAATTCGGACGCAAAGAGACAACACCGCTCAGTCGCTCCTGATCAGTTGCTCCCTCCATCAAGTTCGCTCTCTACGCCATGAAGCTAGAGCCGACTAGCGTCTCCGTCGCCCTCTCCATGGGTTAGCCTCTCTTTTGTTTCGCTTGAAGGAATCGATCGCAATTCGCACTCAAAGAGACAACACCGCTCTGTCGCTCCCTCCATCAGGTTTGCTCTTTACGCCACGAAGCCAGAGCCAACTAGCTTCTCCATCCCCCTCTCCATGGGTTAGCCTCTCTATCGTTTCACTCAAAGGAATTGATCACGAACGGGAGGGATTCCTCCATAAATCGACTGAGTCGTGGACTCCAAAGTACTTGATCTCTTCCTATACAGGCTCGTGCTTGGTCACTCGGTGGAGAGAGTGGCGGAAACTGCGATCAACCCTTGTGATAACCAGGTATTTGTTCTTCCGTTTCTTTTGCTCTTTTTTTCCCCTAAATTTAACTTTTATCGTTTTTGATGAAGTATGTGTGCATTAATCTTGATGTTTTCAATTTTTGCTATCCCTGTTACGTGTATGATTATAGGTAAAAGCTACATGTTTGGGGCTTGCTATTATTGTTTCCCTGATCTGTCTATTAGTTAGCACCTTTGTAAATGTGTTCGTTGTTTCCTAGTGGTCGTCATCTTTAAGCAGTGGAAATAACAAAAGATGTGCTCAAAGTCCTCAGGTTCTTGAACATAATTCAATCGCACAAGAATGTTGGTTGATTGTTGTGGTAGTCAATTGTTCTTATGATGTGAATTGTGTTGTTTACAATTCGCTTCAATCAGTGGAATGTGTTTGACATTGAAATTGCAGGTTGATCGTCATTTTGCTAGCAAGTTTTGCTCGTAAAAAATTGGAGTATTACTAGGTTGAATCAGAAGCAATGGTGAGTTCATTCAATTGTTGACTCTTTATGTTCGAATATTATTTTTAGTTATCAGTTAATGACTTTGTGTGTTTCTTTAGCAGAATGAAAGTGACAGTGATAATATTTCATTGGATTGGAGTGATAGAGAACCAAATATATCATATGATGAAGAGTCGATGACAAGTGAGATGATGAAAGAATTCGAAGAAGCAAGAATGGAGGAGGAGGAGGAGGAGGTAGATGATGGTCGAGCTTTAGTTGTAGGTTCCACCAATATACAAAGAGAGGAGGCTAATGATGATCGAGATTTAGTTTTATGTAAAGACGGGGTAGCAGATGAAGATGCGGATTCTGAAAATGAATCTCTAAGTGGACCTGATATCGATGATTTTGAAGAAACCCATGGCATATCACGCCTAGTGGTTAATAGGTATGATCCTATGTGTGACCATAATGAGGAAGTGTTTAGCCTAGGTATGAGATTTGAATCTCATGAACAGTTCAAGAATGCTGTGAGAAGGTATGCCGTAATTAATGGATTTGATATTTTTTGGCAAAAGAGTGAATATAAAAGAATGGAAGCGAGGTGTGTAAGAGGATGCGGTTGGAGATTGTACGGCGGTTGGATTCAAAATGAGTGTACAAAACCAGACATAGCTTATGCAGTGGGAGTTGTGAGCAGATATCTGGCTAATCTAGAAATAAAGTATCGAAAAGATGTAAAGTGGTTATTAAGAGCTCGCATGATAACTATTATATTTCTCTATTTTTCTATTTCTGGGAATAAGTTTATAACAGAAATCCATTAGGTAACCGAATTTCATTTTCCAATTTCTAGAACAAATTTTTAGTCCAACAATAGATTTGGAACATAAATGGGAAGTAAGAATTTTCTACTTTTCTATTTCTGGAACAAAAAGAGAAATAAAAACTCTGGAAAATTCCAAATAAGGACCCGAAGTGGGATTATTTTCTCAAAAAAAGGGTTCAGAGTGTACAATGTATCAAATAAGGGCCTGAAGTAATCAAATTTGTCTCAAATGAGGGCCCAGCGAGCACATGCATCGTACATGCCATTTTCTAAGCCATGTTGGGGGCATTTTCGTTAAGAGGCAACTTTTTTGTTTTCATTCTTTTTTTGTTTCTTTTTTTTTTCTTCATTTAGTGTTCACCTTCTTCCTTCTTGTTCTTCCTTCCTTCCACACTTGTCCAAAACCGAGCCCTAGAGCTTGATTTCGGTGGTGATTCAAAACCAGGCGACAATAATGGGAGAGTCGCTATGGCTCCTAGAAAGCACTCGCAATACCTTGCCGATGAAAACGAGCTGCTCCACTTTGACAAAACTACCGTGGCATGCCCGCTGGGCCGGTCGAGCCGTCCACATCAGAGTGGTGTCGCGTGTGCAAGATCATGGGGCATGGTTTCTCTATGAAGAAATTGAAGGGAGTTATTGGGTGTTCACATCTGCGGGAGTGGTCATCGATGATGACATAATAACAAATACAGATGAGCGATACCGTAAAGGGTTAAATTGCATTGATGGTGTTTTTCATTGATTAAGGATTCGCCGAACCTTTTTAGAAGAGGATTGAATTTCTCCGATTTTCTTAAAACTTTCAAATCTGGACACGTTCGAATACTCTGCATCAATAAACAAATAGATGAAAAGCACATCGGACAAATTCTTTTGTTGAAGCTTTAGAAAACTATGACACTTAATCATTTGATTCATTATCGTGAAGTCTTCCAATCTTGCTTGCAAAGCATCTTCCATGGCAGAAAAGTCCAGCTTGTACCGGTTTGTGACCAATAAAAAAATGAATCAATAGCTGATAGAAAAAGAAACACGGCATGGCCTAAACCATAAAAGCTTTTTCGATTACACAAAAAAACCCAGAAGATTGAGCGAGATCGGGCACCGAAAGCTACTCAGCGTTGGTACAGAAGGACGAAGAAGAACAAGACGCAAATGAACAAAGAAAAAAAATAAAAAAAAATTGCCCCAGGACGAAAATGCCCCCTTAAAAAGTGGCATGTGAGATGCATGTGCTTGCAAGGTCCTTATTTAAGACTAATTTGACACATTATGCACTTTGGACCCTTTTTTGAGAAACAGATTCCACTTCAGACCCTTATTTAGAATTTTCTCTAAAAACTTTTCTCATTGCTCGCCCTCATCTCTTGCTGCCCGCCGCTAGCTGGCCAACGCCAACCCCCCCCGGGAACTTGCTGCCACCGCCACCGCCACCGCCACCCCCCACAGTTACTTGCTGCTCGTTGCCCCTGCCGATCATCGCCCGCCACTGGCCTCTCGCCACCGCCAAACGCTGCTGCCAGACACCGCCCTCCCTCGCCGGCCGTCGATGAGTGGAAAAGAACGTAAGTGCAAGAAATTTTGTGTCGTTATCAAACGAATTTCTATTTTGGGAAGAGAGGTTTTGTGTTGTTATCAAACGCGTATCTCTGTTCATAAACTTGTCCAAGGAATAGAAATAGAAATGTATATTTCTAGCCAGAAATCTATTTTCTAGAATAGAATGGTTATCATTTATGCCCTAAGGTACTTAAGAGGCACTTCAAGTATAACGCTTTGTTTTATAAAAAAAAAAACAATGTAGCTTCACAAAACTTTGTCGATGCAAATCTTGATGGTGATTTGGATAGTAGGAAGAATGCATTGGTTATGTCTTTTACCGTAGATGATACTGCAATTAGTTGGATGTCTAGATTTGAGAAGTATATGTCCCTCTCAACCACTAAAGTAGAGTATGTTGTTGTATCTGAATTTTCTGAAGGAAATACGTAAGTAGTAGGATAATAGTATTCTTTTTTGTGATAGTCAGTATGCTATTTGTCTTGTAAAGAATCCGGTATTTCACTCAAGGAAGCATGATCATATTTGTCAACTGATAGGTGATGGTGATCATATATGTCAACTGATAGATGATGGGATTTTGTCATTGAAGAAGATCCTTGTTGAGAAGAATCCAGTAAATATGTTAACCAAAATGGTCACCGCTAAGAAATGAAGACTGTGCATTGCCTCAATTGACCTCCATGTTTAGTGATAAGGAGGCCGCAGGACTAGGACAATTTATATTACAAAAACAAGTGAAGACTATGAAATTCTATTGCTGTTTTGAAGATCAGTATTCAAGTGGGAGGTTAATGGAGTTGTGGAGTTTGATGGAGGAAATAAGTATTACAATAGAGAGGTTTTTTTTTGCTAATGATAGACACGTAATTTCCACGTTAATATAAAGAAAAAATTGCTGCTGCTAATGCCATACATATAATTGCCATCATAACTTTGTATACTCTAGCCTCTTACTATATATTGGGGTTTTATCTTTTGTAGTTGTAACTTGTAATTTTGAAAACTGATACTAATACTAATATGGAAGAAATTGCTTAGTGCCGCACCGTTATTTTTTTCTTTCTGATTTTGAAATGTAAAAGTTGGTGTGTTTTCTTCTTTATTTTTTCTCTTCAACCTTTTGCCCTCGTAACATGTGTTATTCGATGGACCTTCTTGATGAAAAGCTTGACTTATCACTTACATATGTTATTGTGTTTCACGTGTGTGGTACCATCATCAACTCATCAATTAATGATATCCCACCCACGAGTCTCTCTTTCTAGCAAAAAAAAAAAAAAAAAAAACCCACAAGTCTCTCTGTACACACAGAATTAAATATGCTATCTACTTGATGTTGACATATTGATATCTGTTAATGAAGGTTGACCCATAAAAAGTGCTGACTAGAAAAGCTAGATCTAAGAGACAAGGGCTCGGAAGACTCACACAGCCGATTCAGAACCAACCAATCATGTGTGATAGTCCGAATCTTCATTGCAACGAGGAACATTGGATCGTGGAAGAGCAAACCACAGAACAAAGCGACCAAGAATCATTACCTTTTGTTCACTATCGATTCATGAAACAAGAGAAGCTTGAAGAGGAGGAAGAAGAAGAAGATGAGCTTGCGCTTCAAACCCTCTTGTCCAGAGAAGAGCAAGCACATTACGAGCCGCTATTTCGCAGTTACCAAGATCATCTTCAAGAGGATTTGGCTCTCGACGGGGATCGTCGAGAGGCGATCAAGTGGATGAATCGAGTGTGTCGACGCTACGCATTTTCTTGCTTCACGGAGATCCTGTCGGTTGACTATTATGACCGGCTTCTCGCGAACATTCGGGTTGCGGAAATGAAACCATGGATGGTGCAGTTGGTGGCTGTTGCTTGTCTCTCTTTGGCTGCAAAAGTTAATGAGATCCATGTTCCAACTCTTTCAGCTCTTCAAGTAAGTTGAAGTCTTGTGATTTTTTTTTTAGCTTGTCGTTCTGCTTGCTTTAAAAATCAATTGTTTCAATCATTTGCATTCTAGAGAAGTAGATTGGGTGATGATAATGGAACACTATACTATTTCCACAGGTTGAGGGACCAAGCTACATGTTTGAGCCTAAGACAGTCCAAAGAATGGAACTCTTAGTGCTCTCTACGCTCGATTGGAGGATGAACCCGGTCACTCCATTTTCCTTCCTAAATCACATCATTGGAAGGCTTCACTTTCACACCAGCTCACAAATGGATCAATTCTTGACCTTGTTCGAGCTATACCTTCTCGCTCTCCTCTCCGATTCGAGGTTTCTCCATCACCGGCCTTCGGTGATTGCAGCAGTGGTGACTTGCCGTTCAATTGAGAAGATGCGATGTGAGGGCATTCAGATCGATTGCTACCGGAATGCTCTTCGCGATAGTCTCAAGTGGAGTGAGGCCGGGGGGACGTTCGAGGAGTGTTATGAGTTAGTAGGTGAATTGCAATTTAAAAGTGCCGATGTGAGTTGTCATTAGACAATAGAGGCGGAGAATTACAAGTTGCGTACAATATCAATTTCAAAATACGGTTTAAAAGTCATATGAATCGAGTTTGCGACGGGGCAAACGCCTATCAAAACAGGCCAAAGCGTTTGAAAGCGCTCTAGCTTCTGGGCATCATTTTTCATATTCAGTCGTACACCATTGTCTTTATGTTCTTGTAAACATTCTGATTGTTCCAATGATCACAAACTTGTGTTCATTTCGAATCGAGTGGAAACTTCTGAGTCATAATCCAGAGAAAGTTATTGAAAATTGAGCGCATTAGAGTTTTACACCAATTTTTTAGTCATTTTGCTTAATTGGCAATGTTGCGGCTCTTCTCTTTGTTAACATTCACGAGCACATTATACTATAGGAGAATAGGTAACACCTCAGTAACCAAAATGGGACAAAGATCTTGAAAGACATTTCAACTAGCAAAAGAAAGATCTCTTTAGTCTTTGCAATCGAACTCCATGCAAATGAAAATTCTAAAATTTCATTCAACGTATCCCACTTTCCTCGAAGAGTTTCTCCTTATCTTGGCATACATCATGCTCCAAAGATGAGCACCCTTTTCACTTCCCAATGATATAAAGTGAAGCAGCAATCTTCACTGTCAAATGGAAAAATACAAACCACTTTGTTGCATAATTCGAAGTTAGCTTTCTTCTACTTACCACTTATGTGAGAAGCATGGCTATTCTTAGGGGTGTGCAAAATGGACCGCTTAAACTAAGAATCACCTGCACCAGACTGAACCGGTCGATTTGGTCTAGTTCCCGAGAATTTGTGTTTGGGCTATCTGGTTCCTGATTCCAAGGGGGAACCGGACCGACTACAAATACCCTTTTTTTAATTTTTTTAAAAATATTAATAAAATGTGAACTAAACCCTAATTGAACTTCATTGACATAAATTCATTGACAAAAATAAGTAAATTGTGAACTGAACCCTAAGTGAACATCATTGACATAAATTCATTGACAAAAACTAGTAAAATGTGAACTAAACCCTAAGGTTGCATTTGATCGCCCGAATTGGATTGTGATAGGATAGGATAATGTGGGATTAGAAATCCTTGAAATATCCTGTGGATCGTAATAAATCATTTCTCATATTTGGTGCAATCCAAGATAGGATTCAAAATCTTTGAAAATCTTACTTGCTCACTAAGGTAATAATTTCCAAATCTAGGGAAGCATCTTCTTGACGTAATTTTGCACGACTGAGACTTGCACCATTTGGAGCAATCACCGTTTTGGTCAGAGCTCCTCCTCCTCCTCCTTCTCCATTGTCAGCATAGAGTCTCATATCTGAATACAGGACGGGATCGGACATCGAAGCAATGGCAAAATTAAGTGACCACCGTTTAGGACCAACATACAAGCGCCCAAAACTTCATGCGTTTTGGTTTTTTTTTTTCTTCTTTTTCAAAGACGACTTTTTGGGTTGACCCATCGATTTAGGGTCATTCATCAGTGATAGCCGATTCGGTTTGATAGTCATTGGAGGACAATCAGCTGAACGGTAATGACGATCAGCGTTGGTCATAGACGATGACGATTGCACGGCGGTTGAGAGTGATAGGTTATTGTGGCGGTGGTCCTTGCGTGGTAGCTGGTGAAGCCGGACTCCATCACTTCGTCATTGGAAGGAAATTGTTATGTTTTTTTTAATACTTTTTTATCCAATCCGAGTCTATCCCACCCCCTAGCCCGGATTTCTTATCCTGCATTTTATCTTGGTATATCTAAGTTTATCCGGTCTAGAAGACGTCGCCAAACACATGATAAAATATTCGGTTATCCTATCTAGACTCAAATTCAGACTACCAAACGTAGCCTAAATGACCAGTTTTATTGGACGGGACCGGACTGGTTCAGTTCCTGGTCCTAGGACCAACCAGTCTGGTCCCTAATTCTTAATTTTGGGAACCGGTCCTACCGGACCGGAGACTGATCACTCCTAGCTATTCTGTCCATAACACACACCTCTACCAAAAGTTCACCAATGTCTTGAATGTTGATTGAAGATTTCTGCAGCCGATCGACCACCGAAGCCTAAGGACTTAAATTTGTGCTATGTGCATTTATGCAAAACTACGTAGTGACAGAAATCTAGTTCATCTTCACATGAAAACTTTCTACCTTTTCTTAGTTAATAAACGGACCATTTTGACAAGGCAGTGCTTGTATGCATCAAATTAGCAATATGTGAATAGTATTCAAACCTTTGCAGCTGCAAAGGTTTGTTTCGTGTTGAAAGAGACCTGCGGCCTACAAGACATGCAAGCCTGGGTCAATACGAACGTAAAGAAGATGCTGAATCGAGGACCTGATGAAATAGTCCCGACCAAGAACTTCGGCCACAAAGAGACCTCTTCTCACGAAAAAGGCAACATGCTGGAGATCAACCTCCTCGTTGCGATGCTCATAGCCACGGTCACCTTTGCAGCTGCCTTCACGATGCCTGGCGGCTACAACAGCGACGGACCGGACTTAGGGATGGCCAGTCTCACCTCGGATCTGGCTTTCTAGGCATTTGTGATTTTCGATACTATGATGTTTGCCACCCTTATCGATCAAGATTTTTATTAGATCTATCCTCAGTGCAAAATTCGTTTTTTACACGCGGTGAACATGTAAAATTTATTTTTTTACACAGACAATTAATCTAATAATAATCCTATTAGTTAAATCACATATTTGCCACTGGATGAAAGGAGAGCATAGCCTCATTGGTTAATGGGGGGAGAGATCGTCATGCGAATGACGTTATAAATAACGCCCCCAAAATTTAAAAGACAAAGGGAAATGTCAGGTCACCACTTCCAAGAAAACAAACGATTTCTTCATTCCCGATCTATGTGATCCAAATGAATAATAATTGGCAGGGCCTTATTCATAGGAAAAAAACTAAAATTAAATATATAATGAGAGGGTTTTCGGACTACTTATTGTTCAATTAGTACATTTTGATTTTAATAATATTATAATTATATGAAAATTTATAAGTTTATTGTCCGATGATTTAACAAGTAATTAGTACTTAGCTCATTAATTAAATCTTCATTGGAAAAGGAGGCTTATGCTGCAACAAAAAGACAAATAGTCGACAGTACAATTTAATGTGGGACAATTTCCAGTGTCCGCCATTTATAATTATAATTTGGTTTGGTCCGCACTTTGTCTCCTCGGTCTTCTCCCTCTCTTCCCCAAGAAGATCTAACTTGTTAGGAATAATTTCGGCAGAAACCCTAACGCTTTGTGTGATCCGTTAACTCCTAAAACTAATGAAATTACACGATATTTATTATTATTATTGTTATTATTATTATAGTTTTCACACGACTTTTTTTTCGAAGGGGAAGGGTAGGAGTGCTGCCCCCTTTGTCCCCCAGCGTCGTTTGCCGACCTTGCTTCGCGGCAGTGGCGACCCTTGCGCCTGTGACGTGAGGGCCGGGCGAGTTTACGGAAAGATTAATTAGTTCGAAGGATAGCAACAAGTTCTAGGACTTAAATGACCCAAAAAAATGTTTTATAATAAAAGGGATCGACTGACGCAAGTTTCAAGTCTTTCATTATCAATTTTTCAATTTTTTATTACATAAATCTGTACATCCATGCGTACATATTGATACCTATATAATTCACTATCAACGATAACGCCCAAAAGTCCATGGTAACGAGTCTCCTTATAAAAATACTTTTTAAGTATAGATTTAAATCAGTACACCATTGATAATAGAACCGCTAATGGTCATGCTAACTTTTACGGGTGCTTGTTAATTATACATGTCAATTGAAGTGTATTGAAATTATAATTTTTTTTCCTATTTGATTGCTTGTGGATACACTAAGGACGTCTTAGAAATTTAAGGGTTCAACATTCCTAGGCAAAATTACCCAATTGATAATAAATCTATTGTATGGATATTAATTCAGCCTTGACCGGGCGATCAACTTCCTTTCCCACGGAAAATATTTTCCCTCCCATGGGCAATTTTGCCTTCAATTTTTGGGGAAAATGATTTCCTCTTTGTGAAAAGAGGAAATCATTTTCCTCAAAACAATGAAGGATTTGGGGGTGGGGAAGGAAAATGTTTTCCCACGGAAAACATTTTCCGCCCCGAACACCGGAAAACGCTGAAAATATTTTCCGGAAAAATATTTTTCCGCAAACGAACACAGCCTAAGGACGTCTTAGAAATTTAAGGGTTCAACATTCCTAGGCAAAATTACCCAATTGATAATAAATCTATTGTATGGATATTAATTCAGCCTTAAAATTTTTCAATTTTGCCAATTTAGATTTAAACCTTTATGCAAAATTCTAATATAGTTTTTCTAATCAATTTTTGCAGGAAATTACTGTCATAGTGGTCCAGTCATCGACATATGTCCTACAATGTATGAATTCTCGACATTGCATCTACATCTCTGAATTCTCGAGTAATTATATATATGTGTGCACAGATCGATGGACCATCTTGATAAGTGTGTGGTACCATCAACTCTTCAATTATGATATCCCAACCACAAAGTCTCTCATTCTACCGAAAAAAAACGACAAGTCTCTCTGTACACACATAATTACAAGATGTATTAATTATCTACTTCATGTTGACAAATTGATATATGTTAATGCAGGTTGACCCATAAAAAGTGCTGACTAGAAAAGCTAGATTTAAGAGACAAGGGCTCGAAAGACTCACACAGCCGAATCAGAACCAACCAATCATGCGTGATAGTCCGAATCTTCATTCCAGTGAGCAACATTGGTTCATGGAAGAGCAAACCAAAGAGCAAAGTGACCCAGATTCGTCACCGTCTCTGCACTACCGATTCATGAAACAGGAGAAGCTTCAAGAGGAAGAAGATGAGCTTGAGCTTCAAACCCTCTTGTCCAGAGAAGAGCAAGCACATTCCGAGAACCTATTTTGCAGTTACCGAGATCATCTTCAAGAGCACTCGGCTCTCGATGGGGCTCGTCGAGAGGCGATAAAGTGGATGCATCGAGTGTGTCGACGCTATGCTTTTTCTTGCTTCACGGAGATCCTGTCAGTCGACTATTACGACCGGTTTCTTGCGAACATTTGGGTTGTAGAGATGAAGCCATGGATGGTGCAGTTGGTGGCCGTTGCTTGTCTCTCTTTGGCTGCCAAAGTTAATGAGATCAATGTTCCAACTCTTTCAGCTCTTCAAGTAAGTTAAGATCTGGTGAATATTTTTTTGCTTGTCATCCTGCTTG